TTTGGACTGTTGTGTTTTCATTTTCATTTGTCTTCTTGCATTTTTAAATTTCCTCTTTGATTTCTTGGTTGGCCCATTCATTATGTAGTAGCATGTTGTTTAGCTTTCACATGTTTGTGCTTTCTCTAGTTTTTTGTTCTTGTAATTTCTTGTAATCTTTAGTTTTATACTGTTGTGGTTGGAAAAGATGCTTTAGTCTTCTGAAATATATTGAGTTTTGTTCTGTGATCTATCCCGGAGAATGCTTCATGTGCACTTGGAAAGAATGTGTGTTCTGCTGTTTTTGGATGAATATTCTGTATATATCTACTAGATCCGTCTGGTCTAATGTCATTTAAAACCAGTGTCTTATCCTCTCACTTCTCCATGCTTGTGATGTCCCTACCATTTGTGGCTAGTTGTGCCAAGGGGTTGGTTCCCAACCGTGTCTCTGCCCCTCCTACCCTTTTCGATGTGGCCCTCTCTCTATGACTAGTTGTGGAAGATCTATTCTGTCAGTCTTCAGGTCATTTCCAGAGTTGGTTGTATAGAGATAGTTGTTACCTTGGTGTGTCGATGGACAAGGTGAGCTCAGGATGCTCCTGCTCGTCCATCTTACTATTTTCCATTTTTCTGTTACTGATTTCTAGTTTAATAAGCCTTGTTGTCTGAGAGCAGACATTGTATGATTTCTATTCTTTTCAGTTTGTTAAGGTGTATTTATGGCCAGTATGTGGTCTGTCTTGATGAATGTTCTATGTGAACCTAGAAAGAATGTGTATTCTGCTGTTAGATAGAATAGTCAGTAGATGTCAGTCATATATGGTTTATTGATATTGTTGTTGAGTTCAACTATATTCTTACTGATTTTGTGCGTTTGGATCTGACCGCTTCTGATAGAGGAGTGCTTAAGTCTCTAACTGTGGTAACGGATATGTATTGAAGTTCTATTTTGTTTCACTTTTTGATGCTGTGTTGTTAGGTGCATACACATTAAACAATGTTATGACTTCTTGAAGAATTGACCCCTTTATCATTATGCAATGACCATCTTTATATCTGGTAACTTTACTTGCTGTGCACCCCGCACTGTCTGCAATTAATATAGCTACTCCTGCTTTCTTTTGTTCAGTATACCTTTCACTACCCATTTACTTAAAAAAAATTTTTTTTTAATTTATATTTACTTATTTTTGAGAGACAGAGAGAGACAGAGCACAAGTGGGGGAGGGGCAGAGAGAGAAGGAGACACAGAATCCGAAGCAGGCTCCAGGCTCCCAGGTGACAGCACAGAGCCCGATGTGGGGCTCCAACTCACGAACAGTGAGATCATGACGTGAGCCGAAGTCGGACACTCAACCGACTGAGCCACCCAGGTGCCCCACTACCCATTTACTTTTAATATACACATGTCTTTATATTCTCCTCCTAAAGTTTTAATGTGGGTTTCTTGTAGACAACATATAGTTGAGTCTGGTTTTTTTTTTTTTTTTGATCCACTCTGATAATCTTTGTGTTTTAATTCGTGAATTTAGACCACTGACATCCCAAGTGATGATTAATATGGTTGTATCAATATTTATCATATTTCTATTGTTTTCTATATCTTGCCCTTGTTCTTTGTTCCTTTTTTGTCTTTCACTCTTCTGTGGTTTTGAGAATTTGATATGATTCCATTTTCATTGCATTCTTAGCATATCAATTATACTTCTTTTATACTGGTTGCTCTAAAGTTTGCAATATACTTATCAACTAATCCAAGTCCACTTTCAAATAACTATACAGCTCCATACACAGTGAGAGTATCTTAAAATAGCAAAATGATCCTAATTCCTCCCTCCTGTCTCTTGTGTTAATACTCTCACTTACTTCATTTACATCTTTGTATACATAATCTAATACATTGTTGCCATTATTATTTTGAACAAATGAAAGATCAATTATGAATATAGATCAGGGGTGCCCGGGTGGCTCAGTCATTTGAGTGTCCGACTCTTAATTGTGGTTTAGGTTATGATCCAGGGGTGTGGGATTGACCTCTACATTGGTCTCCATGCTGAGCGTGGAGCCTGCTTGGGATTCTCTCTCTCTGCCCCCTCTCCCCTGCTTGCACACATGCTCTCTCTCTCTCAAAAAAAAAAAAGAATATAGATCAATTAAGAATATAAGAAATATGTTTTTATTTTACCTTCACTTATTCTTTTTTTTGATGCTCTTACTTTATATAGGTCCAGGTTTCTGACCTATAATATTTTTCTTCCCCCTAAAGAACTTTTTTTAACATTGCAAGTTCTACTGGCAACAATTTCCCTCAATTTTTATTTGTCCAAAAAGTCCCTATTTCATCTTCACCTTTGATGGTTAATTTTGCAGGATAAGAATTAGGGTGATAGTTTTTTGTCTCTGAACACTTTAAATATTTCACTACATTCTCTTCTTGTATCCGTGGTTTTGGAGAAGTCTGATGTAATTTCTATTTTGCTTCTCTGTAGATGTGTTTACCCCTTCTAGCTTTTTAAAGGATTTTTCTTTATCTTTGATATTCTGTAGTTTGAATATGATATATCTTAGATGTAGTTTTCTTTGGCATTTATCCTGCTTGGTGTGCTCTGAGCTTTTTTGAATCTGTAGTTTGGTATCTGTCATTAATTTGGGAGAAATTCTCAAATGTTATTGCTTCAATATTTCTTCTGTTCTTTTCTCTTTTTATTGTTCTGCTATTCCCATCATGCACGTATTAACACTTTTTGTAGCTGTCCCACATTCCTTGGATATTCTGTTTGTTTCCCCCCCCAGTTCTTTTCCTTTTTTTAGTTTTGGAGACTTCTATTGAGACACCCTCATGCTTAGATTTTTTTCTGCAGTTGTGTCCAGTCTAATAATGAGCTCACTAAAGACAGTCTGCCTTCCTTTCTTTTTTTTTTTAAAATTTTTTAAAATGTTTATTTTTGAGAGAGAGCGCGCGCGCGTGCGTGTGCATGAGTGGGGGAGGGGCAGAGAGAGAGAGGGAGACACAGAATTCAAAGCAGGCTCCAGGCTCTGAGCTGTCATCACAGAGCCTGATGTGGGGCTTGAACTCACGAACCACGAGATCATGACCTGAGCCAAAGTCAGAGGCTTAACTGACTGAGCCACCAAGGCGTCCCATTTCTTTTTTTTTTTTTAAGTGTATTTATTTATTTTGATAGAGCAAGTGGGGAGTGGGGGAGGGGCAGAGAGAGAGAGAGAGAGAGAGAGAGAGAGAGAATCCCAAGCAGGCTCTGTGCTGCCAGTGCAGAGCTGAGGCTTGGTCTCATAATCTGGGAAATCATGACCTGAGCAGAAATCCAGAGTCGGACGCTTAACGGACTGAGCCACCCAGGCGTCCTAGACATTCTTTGTTTCTGTTACAGCATCTATCATGTTTCCTTTTGTTTCTTAGAATTTCCATCTGTCTGATTACATAGTTCATCTCTTCTTGTATGCTGTCTACTTTGTTCATGAGAGCCCTTAACATATTAATCATTGTTGTTTTAAATTTCTGTTCTGATAATTCCAATATCCTGCTACATCCGAGTCTGGCTCTGATGCTTGCTTTGTCTCTTCAAACTGGGGTGCTTCAAATTGCTATGCTTCTAGCAATTCCCCATTTACACCTCAGGTTTCCCTACCCTGCAGCTGGTTCCCACAGAAATTTTGGCTCCTGGGTTTCTGCTTCAGTAAGTTGTGATCCTCTGTATTTGCCTGCCTGCATAATTTTAAGAGCAGCAGCTTTGCTTGTGAGGAGTTGTTGATTTGTGGTTTGTTCAGCTTTTTACTTCTTAGGTTGGTATGGTAACTTCCAAGATTCTTGCGTGCCAGCCTGGAAAAGGGAAGTCTATTTATTTATTTGCTTTTGTCTGTTTTGGCTCTGTTTCTTGCTTGAGTAATTTCTATATTTCAATTCTGTCTTTCAATTCCCTGATTTTTCTGTCTTCTCTGCTTTTGAGCCCAGCCACCGAACTTTTTATTTTGGTTATTATATTTGTTAGTTATAAAAATTTGTTTGTTCTCCTTTATATCTCTAATTTGTTGGCTGAGATTTTCTTTCTTTCTTTTTGGAGAGAGAGAGAATACATTGGGGGCAGGTCAGAAGAGAGAGAGAGAGAGAGAGAGAGAGAGAGAGAGAGAATCTTAAGCAGGCTCCACGCTCAGTGCCGAGCCCGATGCGTGGCTCAATCCTACGACCATGAGATCATGACCTGAGCTGACATCCAGAATCAGACCATGAACCAACTGAGCCACCCAGGTGCCCCTGTTGGCTGAGATTTTCTATTTCTTTTCTGAGGCATTGTTTTGTTTTGTTTGTTTTTTTTTATTTGGTCCAAACATGTTTGTACTTTCTTGTTGAGGCATCTTTGTCATGGTTTCTTTAAAATCTCTGTCAGATAATTCTGGTATTTCTGTTATCTTGATATTGGCATGTATTTATTTTCTTTTTAAAAATTAACTTTGAGGGGTGCCTGGGTGACTCAGTCGGTTGAGCGTCCGACTTCGGCTCAGGTCACGATCTCGCGGTCCGTGAGTTCGAGCCCCGCGTCGGGCTCTGTGCTGACTGCTCAGAGCCTGGAGCCTGTTTCACATTCTGTGTCTCCCTCTCTCTCTGACCCTCCCCCGTTCATGCTCTGTCTCTCTCTGTCTCAAAAATAAATAAATGTTAAAAAAAAAAATTAACTTTGAGAACTTGTAATTCATGGTATGATGGGTGATTTTCCACTGAAACCTGGACATTTGGTATAGTAGTCTGGATCTTATTTAAGACCTCTGTTTTAGCTGGCTTTTCCAGACACCACTCTGGCAAGGGAAGGGGGGCCCTGCCTTGTTACTGCCTGGTATGGGTAGACTTGATCCCCTTGATACCTGCTGGGTGGCTCCTTTTCACCTCTGGATGAAGATGCAAGTTCCAGTTTCCATGGGGTCTTCCTTGGTCCTTAATTTTAATAATACACACACTTAAAATTTTTCTTTTATATTGGACATCTATGGCCTTTCTGTCAATACAGGGAAAGATTGGAGCTGCTGCCCAAAGGGTTGGAAGCCATTCAGTTCCAACTGCTACTTTATTTCTAATACAATAAGAAATTGGACGGAGAGTGAGAAGAACTGCTCAGCAATGAAGGCTCACCTGCTGGTGGTCAACACCAAGGACGAGCAGGTGCTTTCTAATAGATGGTGGAACCAGGAGTCCCATCTGGTTGTTGTTTACCTCTCTTGTCTCAGAAGGAGGCTTTCACTGTTTGGGGATATTGGTGGTGTGGCAGAAGGCTTTTAGTATAATTGATAAGAAAGGCTATACCTAAGCCAATACGTGCTGCACCTTCTTCCTGTTTCCATAAAACGAATCTCTCCCAAAATAAATTGGGGCATTTAAAATATAATATGTGGGCTTGGAGTGGAAGAATGAAAATGTCTTAGCCTGAAATACTAGTTTATTCTTTCAACCTGTAAATATTTTAGAAAGTATTAACTATTTCATGGAGAAGGGGTATTCTATCAAATAGAGAAACAGAGTTCGGTCATGAAGAGTCACGGTCAACAATCAGAAATGAATGAAGTTGAAGAAGTTATGAAAGGAGAATGATTTAATCTGCAAAAATTTTCTAATGCATGATTTTGAAGAACACTACTTAAGTGGAGAAGGGAAGTGAATCTGAGATGAGAATTCATTATGATCGTGGATAGAAATGGCTTCCATTTATATTGAACATCACTACGTTCTAAATGTTTATATCCCCACCAAACTTCATATGGTGAAATCTTAACCCCCTGAGATAGTGGTATTTGGAGGTAGGGTCTTTGAGACGGGTTTAGGTAATGAGGGTGGAACCCTCATGAATGGAATTCATGTTCTTATAAAATAGTTCCCTTGCCCCTTCTGTCGTGTGGATACACAGTGAGAAAAAGCTGTCTATGGATGAGGAGGAGGGCCTCTACCTGACCTTGCTAGTACCCTCATCTGCGGTTTCCAACCTCCAGAATTGTGAGAAGGAAATTTCTGTGGTTTATAAGCTACCCAGTCTGGGGTATGTTGTTATAGCAGCCTGAGCAGACCAAGATAAACATCATGGTCACAAGTGTTATCTTTGATCTTGTACTGCTCAGCCAGAGAAGACTGCGGCTCCTGGGCAGGGGCCCCATGTGGCTCTTCCTGGATCCTTTCTTTCTCTTGTCTTCTAAGGCTACTGTAAAGAACTTAGTTCTACCTGAATACTTTAAAGGCTATAACTCCTTTCTTTTCTTCCCTTAGGATTTTATCATCCAGAACGTGGATATGTCTCCTGCTTATTATATAGGGCTGTCAGACCCAAAGGGAAAAAGAGATTGGCAATGGGTTGATCAGACACCCTACAATGAAAGTGTCACGTGAGTACAGAATTCGATACAGGAATCCCGGGCCCTGGATCATGCACGGATTTTAGAATGTTCCAGCTATTAGCTATGAAAATAAAAAAGCTCACTCTTAACTCTTGGGCACTAGGTTTAAATAATTTTCTTTATTATCTCATATATAGTCATCACAAGAACTCTGTGAGGCACACGTTATTATTTTTCCCACCGTAGATTTGAGGAAATTGAGTTTAGAGAGTTTAGACAGCTCAACAAAGGTTATCCAACAGTGGCGACAGTGATCCTCAAATCCAGCTCTATTTGACATCAAAGTCTGTACTTTTAACTACTACATTATATCTCTAAATATAACAAAAATTTACGTCAGTTAAGGTCGTGGCCAGTTATTGATTTAATATTTCTCATAAAGCAAATAAGCTAAATTGTGATACTTATAATATCTCATATTCATGTAGGTCTTTTAAAACTCTTAAATCCTTTAGTGCATTTTAGGGTAATACTACCTTTGATCCTCATATCATAAAGGAATATGACTCTAGTCTCTATTTTTTAGATATGGAAATCAGGAAAATGAAATTATATGTCCAAGATAACAGGGATGTTAGCAGATTTAGGGATTTTAACTAGTTCTTCAGACACCAAAAGCAATATATATTTAAAAAAAGGAAACACACTACAGTGATATTTGGGACTGGGATGAAATCTTTTTTTTTTTTTTTTTTTTTTTTTTTTTTTTTTTTTTCTTCATCATTTAAGGTAGCTTATGGACTGGTAGTCCCCTGGGAACAGGACATAATGATGGACAAATAGAAGGGCTATCTGCTAGGAGAACGTTTAATGCAATGAAATGACACAATATCGGGTGATGCACGCACCGTTTCTGAGGGAAATGCCAGAGTTTCAGGCGGAGGAGAACCTGCATGAGAAATGGAGAAGGAATGATTTGGGCATATCCACCCTTGACATCCACACAGTTCAACCTCAGCCCCCTTCCTCACTGTCTCTAACCCTTTTCAAAGCCCTGTGTGGAGAAACAACCTCATCCAGTTTTTTCCCTTTCAGATTTTGGCACTCAAGTGAACCCAGTAATCTTAATGAGCGTTGTGTTATATTACATTTTCGTCATGGACCGAGAGAATGGGGCTGGAATGATGTTCCTTGTAATGTACATCACAAGTCAGTTTGCAAGATGACGAAGATCTACTTATGAATGGGACATTCTGCATGAACATGTGGTTGAATTGGAACCCACCATCACAGAGATAGCTAATTTGCTCTTTTTATTCATGTGTAAATCTTGTGGAAGGAAGCTCCATAGAAGTTTTCCATAGGCTGTCACCTTTTCCATTTATGAGAGAATCAGTATACGCATTCATTCATTTCTTCCTTCTCCATGTGCAGAGATCATATTTCTGCAGACAGATGGAGGAAGCATGAGCCTCCTTTCCTAATTTTGAAGAGTTAAGCATTGACGTAATTATATATGATATTGGTATAATTATATGATGGGGTTCCTCTCTCTGTCTGGATTTTTTTTTTTTTCCATGAGAGTGATCAAAAGCAGAATAATCCCAACTATTACTTTCCATTTCTCTCAGACATTTATCAGCTTTAACTGAAGCATGTTATGTGCCAGTTGGAATATGATACACATCAATGGAACTTAGTTTCTGGCTTTGGCCCAGTAGACCATTTGGGATTCTTAGCATTCTCTGCTCATTCTTGGACTGTCACTTAACATCAGGGTGCACTCAGAGGGAAATCCAACACTGAACATTAGAGATTTAGAAGTTATTATTAGTGAGTTGACATAGATGTATAATCATTAGGTATTCTGATAGTTTTTTTTTTTTCCCTTAAGTTTTATAGTATCTGTGTGTAGATTGCCACTCAAAATGGCTCCTGGTTTATTTGTATTCCCCTTTGCACTGAATTCTTACAGATCATTTTATTTCAACTACAACATAAAATAGATTTATAATGAAGCCTGTTATTCATTGCTTTCATATGCTAATTATAATTGATCATAGTAAAGCTGATTCTAGCCATGGCTATCCAAGTATGACTTCTTGAGATTATGCCCCGATTATCTTGATACAACTGAGTAATTACATTTGCCACTCATTTCCTGACTGTATCTAAAAAGGAGTTGTTTTTATACAGGTCTGATCTTATCCATAGTATGTAGAACTTACCAGTTTACTCCTCGGAGAGCAACTTACAATCATGGAAGAATTCCAGGGAAGCTTTATTGACAAAGAGGTTTCCTCACTATTATTTCAATAATAAGGGGTTGGAATGAAGAGCAAAAAGAACCACTTTACGAAATGCTTTTGATTTTCAGGATAGAGGGTGTGCTTGAACTGGAGTGCAAGGAGAGTGGTGACATTAGTCATTGCTGGAACTTTCTCTGATCTCCACCTTATATCTTATGAATGTGGTTCAGATCCTATTTTCTTTAATTTTCCATAAAGCACCACTAAATTAAGATTGTGGGTAACAGAGTTTATGTAAGACTTGTGTTTAAAGAGTGATATTAAAGTGAAGAGGCATCCAGCTGACTTCAAATCAGTGGACAGAATTTTGAAAAATAAAGTTGCTTTAAGCCACTAACGTTTTGGGGTGGTTTATTATTTAGCAATGTATACCTGAAACACCTGTGAATTATATTGTGGATTTGAACCAGATTCTGCAAAATAATGAAACATATTCAAACACATTGCTGTCTCTGAAAAGATTGACAGTTTTTGGGCTTTTCTTGTGGGTTTTTTGGGGGAGAATATCTCGAGAACTGGTGGGCACTGCCTTTTTTGCTGTGACTCTCAGCCATTCTGTGCTTCTAGTAACCCACCCTCAAACTCGAGCCATTTGTGAAAGCAATTTTTAAAAAAATTTTTAAATGATTATTTATTTTTGAGAGAGAGAGAGAGAGAGAGAGACAGAGTGTGAGCAGGGGAGGGTCAGAGAGAGAGAGGGAAACACAGAGTCTGGAACAGGCTCCAGGCTTTGAGCTGTCAGCACAGAGTCTGACACGGGGCTCAAGCCCACCAACTGGAAGATCATTACCTGAGCTGAAGTCAGACGTTTAACTGACTGAGCCACCCAGGTGCCCCAAAAGATTGACAGTTTTTTTTTTTTTTTTAAATTTTTTTTTTTTTTCCAAAAAGTTTTATTTATTTTTGGGACAGAGACAGACAGAGCATGAACGGGGGAGGGGCAGAGAGAGAGGGAGACACAGAATCGGAAACAGGCTCCAGGCTCTGAGCCGTCAGCCCAGAGCCTGACGCGGGGCTCGAACTCACGGAGCGCGAGATCGTGACCTGGCTGAAGTCGGACGCCCAACCGACTGCGCCATCCAGGCGCCCCGAGATTGACAGTTTTAAAGTGAGAGTAGGTTAATTTTATCATTAAGTGAATAAAATGCAAAATTAAAGTGTTTGTTTTTTATACAATTTAATTCTTACTCTTGTGTTGTAGGCATATTATATTACATCAGAGGTATGTGGTTCTTAAAGTTCAATATATTAAGTGTGCATATATAATTTTTTTCAAATATTAAGTATGAGCAAACAAAAATTGTTTTCAGACCACTATTCTAGAAGATGGATTTGAAAATGTTTGATTGGGGGCGCCTGGGTGGCTCAGTCGGTTAAGCGTCCGACTTCAGCTCAGGTCATGACCTCACAATCTGTGAGTTCGAGCCCCGCGTCCAGGCTCGGAGCCTGGAGGCTGCTTCCGATTCTGTGTCTCCCTCTTTCTCCGTCCCTCCCCTGCTCACACTCTGTCTCTCTCTCTCAAAAATAAATAAACATTAAAGAAAAAATTTAAAAAAGAAAATGCTTGATTGAAGTTTAGGTAATTGTTCCATCTGAGGTAAAAGAAAAAGAAAAATACAAGCTACAAACAAAACTATTTGAAGAAAGTTGTGTTTATGTTGGTTTATTAAGAAGATACATTTAAGCCTATGAATGAAATATACTTAGAATTTTAGTATCTATATTCATTTTTATGTTGCTATTAAAAACAAACATATAAATAAATAAATCTACCAACACCTAAAGCCCTTTTAGTCAACCTGCCACTTAGTAAATATGGAAAAGGAAGCAGAAGCTGTGGAATATTCAGTACTGGGGAAAATACTTTTGCTCAGTGGAGTTAAAATGATCAGCCTGGATGATTTTTCTGAAGCTGGGCATCTGCTGACACATGACAAACCCTTCTGAGCCTGTTAATATTCATTTTGTCTTGATGATAATACTGAAACATGAATTAATAATAGTTTTGTCTTTGCCAATATGGAAATCATCAATGGTACCCACTTTGTCAGAGATGAATTCAGTGACTCGGGCAGGGAAAAAATAATGTCACAATTCAAATGTATTAAGCCATCTGTTCAGTATGTGTTTAATTAAATCAACCCCATTTTCTCTACACAATGGAATGCTCTGCATTAGTGAAAATTGTTGCAAATGGAAGCACATAATAAAGAACCAGTAGTTAGGACTGTGGTGCATGTTGTTGGTCTGTACGTTTTCCTTAGAAGCAAAACTTTGATTTTCTTTACAGAGAGTCATTTTCTTTCATGCAGCCCAGGTGACCTCACTTTCAGCTCTGTGAATGGATACTGATTAACTCAAGGCAATCAAAATAATCACCCTAGTGGTTGGTTTAGGAATAGGCACACATTGCAAGGTAATCCAGTGAATCCCCTCCCCTGTTGTCCAATGAATCCGGGAGCGAATCTCCCTCTCCCAAAGAATGTGAACAGAGAAGTATGTAGCCTGCTTGCTACTAATAGTCATTCTATCACCATGTGGGGAACCAGCTTTAGAATGACAGAAACACCATGGGGTAGGACAATGGAAAGAATCTGGTTTCTTAAGGGTATTGTTGAGCCACTGAATCAGCTATTCCTGAAGCATATTCTACTCTGAATTTTTAATCAAAACTAATAAGTTTTCTAATTTAAGTCTGACTGAGTCATGACCGATATAAAATAGTATATATATATATATTTTTTTTAAACGTTTATTTATTTTTGGGACAGAGAGAGACAGAGCATGAACGGGCGAGGGGCAGAGAGAGAGGGAGACACAGAATCGGAAACAGGCTCCAGGCTCTGAGCCATCAGCCCAGAGCCCGACGTGGGGCTCGAACTCCCGGACCACGAGATCGTGACCTGGCTGAAGTCGGACGCTTAACCGACTGCGCCACCCAGGCGCCCCTAAAATAGTATATTTTTAATTGACCTAACTTTATTGGGATTCAGTCATCTAAGGAAAGAAGCTAACATTTTTAGAGCACAGTTCCATGAGTTTTGTTTGTTTTAGATTCCATTTATGAGTAGAATCACATGGTATTTGCCTTTCTCACTCTGACTTATTTCACCTAGCATAATACCTTCTAGGTCCATCCATGTGGTCTCAAATGGTATGATCTCATTTTTTTAATGGCTGCATAATATTCCAGCGTGTGTGTATACCACATTGTCCTTATCCATTCATCTATCAATGGGCAGTTGGGCTGCTTCCATAATGTGGCTATTGTAAACAATGCTGCGTATCGTTTACATTTTATGTTTAAAATGTAAACAACATTTAAATGTTTAAAATATAAACATTTATGTTTAAAATGTAAATGTTTATTGTTTAGCATTTATGCATGCTGCGTATATGCATAGGGGTGCGTATATCCCTTCAAATTAGTGTTTTCGTTTTCTTTGGCTAAATACTTTATGGTGGAATTACTGGATCATATGATATTTCTGAGTTTAACATTATTGAGGAACTGGCATACTTTTTTCCACAGTGGCTGTAGGAATTTACATTTCCACCAACAGTGCATGAGTGTTCCTTTTTCTCGACATTCTCATCAACACTTGTTATTTCTTGTCTCGTCGAGTCCAGCCATTCTGAGAGGTGTAAGGTGGTATCTCATTGTGGTTTTGATTTGCATTTCCCTGATGATGAGTAATGTTGAACATCTTTTGATGTGTCTGTTGGCCAAGGGAAATTAATTTTCAATAGAAAGATGCAATTTTGGGGGTGCCTGGGTAGCTCAGTTGGTTAAGAGTCAATTTCCGCTCAAAAATTAAAAAAAAAATTTTTTTTAAGTATATAATTTGAGGCGCCTGAATGGCTTGGTTGGTTGAGCATCCTACTTTGGCTTGGGTCATGATCTCGCAGTTTGAGAGTTCAAGCCCCACATCCAGCTTACTGCTTGCTGTCAGCTCTGAGCCCAATTCGGATCCTCTGTTCCTCTTTGTCTCTGCCCCCTCCCTTGCTTGCGCTCTCTCAAAAATAAATAAACCTTTAAAAAAATAAAAAGTATACAATTTTTGTTACTGCATTTATGAAAAAATTATTTTTTAATTTTTTAAAGTTTATTTATTTTGAGAGAGAGAGGGAGCACGCATGTGAGTAGGGGAGAGGCAGAGAGAGAGGGAAAGAGAGGGAGAGAGAGAATCCCCAGCAACTGACAATGCAGAGCCTGCGGGGCTTGAACTCATGAACAGTGAGATCATCACTTGAACTGAGAACAGTGAGATCATCACCTGAGCTGAAACCAAGAGTCCGATGCTTAATTGTCTGAGCCACCCAGGCGCCCCTATGAAAAAATTCTTTAAGTGGATCTGAAGTTTTCATCAGAACTTCAAATGGGTTAGTGGCCCAGAAGAGTTTCATCATTGTTTATCTGGTTGATTTCAACTTCCCAACATCTTATCTTCACGACTACAGTCCTCTGATAAGGGCTAAAGAAAAACAAAATCATTGAAGGTTACACAAATAAACTGTTCTCCTTCTGGTAATGGGGAACTATTTTGTTACAGACCAACCCTTGTAACAACAACAACAATAACAACACTAGCAAGAGGAAGTTGGTTTCAAAGCATTGGGGAGCTATCATGGCACTGAAGATTTGAGGCACATGAAGGTAACAACATAACCATGAACAGTGATCAGCCATTCTTCCTCTAATTTCTTGGAATTAGGTAATCCCTAGAATCTTGATGTAATCCCAAAGGATCATCTGAAGAATGACTTATATGAAATTTCTTATCATCCAGTGTTATTATAAGAAACAACAATAATAATCTCTTGAGTTGAAAATAATGAGATGCTCTATATTTTGTATTGTGAGTCTGTAGACCAAAAATATCTTAAACACATTTGTGTGGGAAAATATCGGAGTCTAAATATCTCTTAGAAGGTAGTGCTTGCCTCCACCTATTGATTAAGTTGTCTTTAAATTCTTAAACAGGAGAATCAAACTGGGTCTGCTTAGTTCAATCATGGACAGTAATTTTCAAAAGGGCAACACAGTGCTGCTTTCTTAAAAGCATTTGTTTCAAATTGCTGATTCACTCCTGATGTTCCCTTCCAAAGAGTTCAAGTCAAAAGGACAATATGCATTTTGACTCTAATAGTATGTGATTTTATTTTCAATCCGTACAAGTTATTATCTTTTCCATTGCTAGTTTTTGCATGGCTCCCTTATTAGGCTCAAATATCCCATATTTGTCTGTACATCTGACCTGAACCTACCACAAGTTTCCTTTTGATCTAATCTCCCATTCTCCCTATTAATTTTTTATTTTGTTTTTTGTTTTGATCCTGTTTGCCTTTGCTCATATCATCTCAGCGCTCTATTCAAAGTCTTGCTACTGTAATCTAGAAATGAATAAGGAATGAAAAGAACAAAAGAAAATGGAGCACAGGGCTGCCAGTGGTCAAGACCAGAAAGTGACTTAGGGAGCACATACTGGAGATGGGCAATGAGCAAATAGGTCTTTAAACTGATTTTCCTATATATAAAGTTTACAAATTTTCTTTGGACCATCTCATACCTTGGGTTTGTGTTTCTTGATCTCTGAGGGGAACTGGAGGCAGATGCATAGGTTTTATAACCACTTCTCCTTCCCCTCTTACGACTTGTTGTATCTCTCTAACCAACCCCAGGGAGAATTTTCTGGGCTTTTACTACTGTTCTCAATATCTATTTTATCATTCACTGTAACTATGCCATCACTTTAAAAGCTTGTTGAGTACAGTATGCACCTATTCACATTAGGATTTTTTTTTTTTTTTTTTTTTT